TATGGGCCAAGACCTCACCTTAACACCGAAAAAAAAAAAACTAGTCTGCCAATATATATCACTATTTTCTAATTGATATATATCGATTATTCGATATGTATTGATAAGTATCCATCTAAAAAATTTCCTAATATAAGTTAGATTCTCTTCTTAGATAGCTTCAAAAATAAGATTTTAAAGACTCTTTCAGATTAATAAACCCAAGAAATAGAGATTTTTCTTGGACAAATGGAGAACAAAGTTCTAGAATCGACCAAATTTAGATTTTAGAAAACCTTGCAAGTGGATTATATGAAGCAGAAATTCAAAACATAGATATCATTATTGGTAGCGACCATAGAGTTGCACTAGCAAAATTTGAGCTAGATTATCTAATTTTAGCAGTTAGTTATGCTGAACTTAAAAAACAAAACTTCAAAAGAACTGTTTTTCTTTATGATGAAGCAACTAAAGAAAATTGGGATAACTATAAAAAAGAATTAGAAAGAATACTTAAAAAAAAAGAGAATCTAATAGAAGATTTAATAAAGTCAGAGAACTAAGCAAAAGAAGAAACTCAAAAACTTCTAGATGAAGCTTGGGATTTAGTGAACAAAGGTATCATTACTGTAGCCTAAAAGATATTATCTAAGAAAAAAATCTCAAGCAAACAAGCCTCTAAAGACAAACAAAAAAAGAAGTCAGAACTTGCATAACTAATAGTTTTTCTAAATAAATAGATAAGCCTGAGAAGAAAGAACCTCAAGCTTTGCTAGCTAGTAGACGATATACAAGAATTTAATAAGCAAATTAAACTCATTAATTTCTGTTGCAGAATCTATATAGAGGAGATTCAAAGCTAGACTCAGAAGACTATTAAAGATTTAAGAGGATGGTAAAAAATTCTTAACAAACAGAGAAGAAAAGAACTTAAAAAATGTAAAAGTAAGAAAATAAATAAAAATATTAAAAAAAAATATCAAATGATTGATAGAAAACAAGAAAAGATAAAAGCAAGTCTATTCAACAAGCCAATCAGAAAAATAAAGATTGATAGATTACTTATAGAAGATAGCCTTTCGAGAAAACTAATTTCAGATCTGAACAGAGTTTTAAAAGAAACATGTGAACATTTTAAGAATCAATTTAGACCAAAAAACTTTTAAAAAAATGCTTTGGAAGGAGATTGGTATAGAATTTATAATTCAAAGAAGAAAATTCAAGATATTTAGTATAAAAATCTAAATAACAATATTTCAGAAAAAGAATATATAGAAATATTTGCAAATCTAAAAATAAATATAGCATCAGAGATCTCTGGCATTATTTATATACTAATTAAGGTAGCAAGTAAATAAGTCCAAAGAGTTTTTAGAACAATAGCAGGTTTTTGTATAAAAACAGAAAAAATTTCTAAAAAGTAAAAATTATCTTAAATCTACCTAATTTTAAAAGACAAGGACTAGTACTATAATCTGAACAATGTTAGACCAATTGTATTATTAGAAACCTTTTAAAAATGTATAACCAAGATACTTATGAAAAAACTTGCAGAAATTCTCTTCAAAAAGAATATACTTAGGAGTAAAACTTTACAGGTTTTTCAGATAATTCTACAAAGAAGCCAGTACACATTCTTAATGTAATTATAGAGGATGCAAAAGATAACAAAAAAGAACTGTGGATTATACTTCAAGATATGAAGAAGGCATTTGATTCAGTATTATTTAAAGCTTTGCAGAAAGCATTTGAAAGAATCAAACTACTCAAAGTTACAATTAAACTTTTATTAAACCTCTTTGTAAATAAACAATTCAGAATCATTACAGAACTAGGCTCAACAAAATTCTTTGATATTCAAGAAGGGATTGAACAAGGAAAAGTAATTTTACCCCTAATTTGGAGGATATTTTATAATCCTCTTTTAGAAAGAATCTAAGAAGATACTAACTTAGACTACGCTGTAGACCACAATGATTACTTCAACTTAAAATTAAACTATACAAATAGAGGTTCATAGAGACAAGCAGTAGTGGCCTTTGCAGATGATACTATATAGATTGCAGAAAGTAAAAAGCAGATAAAAGAAACGCTTATAATTGCTAAAAAGTTTTTTAGAATAAATGATATACAAATTAATAGAAAGAAAACAAAGTTAATTATGATAAATACAGGAAACAAAAGCAAAGTTAAAAAGTTTTTCTTTGGCAACAAATAGATTTAGGAAGAAAAAGAGATAAAGATTCTAAGATTTTTAAAAATATAGCTGAATAGTAAGATGAAAGAAACAGCTATTAAAACCAAAGCAAAAAGAATTGTACAGTAAACAACCAGAAACCTTTTTACGAAAAAATAACAATTAGCCAAGTGTCTTATATAAATAATATTAGTATAATTCCCAAGTTGTACTATATATTGTAAATATCAAAAGTAAGTAAGCAGATAATTAACAATATACATAATCTGATAATCAAACTTGCAAAAAACAAGATCAAAATTATAGTATTAGCAAGAAACAGTATAATACACCACAGAAGTATGGGTAATTGCAAATTTTAAACCATCTTCATTTGAGCTGCCTCTGATTGAACCACTTTCAATTAAATTACCTTCAATTGAATCACCTTTGATTGAATCACTTTCAATTAAACCACCTTTGATTGAACACCTTTGGTTGATATGAAATTTGATTATAAGAACAAATAGATAGATATCTTGATATTATTGCAATTCACAATATTTTTTAAAAATTATCTATGGGGCAAAGTATGATAATAGAATATGAAGATATTGATGCGAGTTTTAGAGAAAATATAAAGGAAAAAAATAATTAGTGAAGAACAATATAATATGCGATCCAAACATAGTGGATACTCATAGTCTATGAATGCAACATATCCTAAAACAAGTAGTATCATTAAGATTATCTCTGTTTTTTTAAAACATGGTGACTATTCCCTAGATCTACTTTTCAATAAATTTAACACTATACATAGAACATTAACTAAGCCTATATTGGTAAATATAGAATTCTGGATTACCAAAGAAATCTTAATATGCACACATAATACCAGCTACTTATAGCAAAGTATGTAAATATATTTATTTTACCTCAAGATTTATCAAATACAATCCAGAGAATAAAAAAAGATCAACAAATTGAAGATGAAGCTGCTATTTTAATTACTCACCTTCTTGAATACAAGGCTAAGAACATAAGATGGGTTGTAAATTGGCGTATAGACCTGGCAACAAATTCTTTAATAAACTTATTCTGGATGACACCAGATCAATACGATCTTTATATCCAATACAGAGATATAGTGCAATATGATAATATTTATTCAACTAATCAGTTTAAAATGGCACTTAGTCTATTAATAGTTGTAGATAATAATAGATCTCGATTGGTTAGACAAATATTAATGGGTAATGAAACATCAGAGAGTTTTGAATGGGTATTTAATTCTTTGATTAAGGCTACAAATATTTTTTTCTTAGTTCTTATAACCGATAGTGATCTTGCTATTGATACTGCAGTTGCAAATATAATACCAGATATATATCATATTTACTGTATTTATCATATCAGACTATATATACACTGAAATAGGTTTCAAAAAAACACTATTTTGTCTCCATTAGAGCAATTTAAAATTTTTATATACAAGAGCAAATCTAATTTAGGTAGTTATATTCCTTATAATTTCGTCTCTTCAAAAAAAGTATTAAAAAATTTCATCTTTTAAGTAAAATAGATTAAAAACAATTTCGTCTTCAAATTTTAATTTCATATCCCAAAACCCAAAATAATTTCATCGGTATGTATACATTCTAAAAAATTTAAAGTCTAAATTGAGATCATGGTATGACAAATTTTCTAGAACATGGTGTTATATGAGAAATACTCCATCTCAAGTTGAATTTGAATATCTTTGAAATTCTCTTCTTGAAAAATATCTCAAATTAGTTTTTTATCTTAATAGATCACTTGGATTTCAAAAACAAAAATAGGCACTTGTCTATATTTTATGTATTTTTATAGCTAGATTACAGTCTATACAAAGAGTCAATGAACAAAATGCAATTATCAAAACTACAATTAATATTCACACTTCGATCTTAGAACTTTTAACAAACTTGATGCACACTTTATTAGTATATCCTTTACTATTCAATATCAAAATTGGTCACATTTAGTAACTGGTTTAACTCTTACATATGCAAGCCATGATTTTTCACCTATAATTGATAAGTGGATTATTGATTATCTAACGCCTGCTGCTCTCTCCATGCAGCGACAAGAAATAGCCCAAGCAATTTAGTATATATTTGCTGTTTTAAAACTTATTGATTCAAGATTATATAACCCATATTAAATTTAATTTGGACTGTAAATTAAAATAATTCCAAGTTTTTATTTTGAGAATTACTATAATCATTATTAATACTAATTTGTATCTAATGAATACAATAGGTATGCTTCTTAGTTAGTAAATAAAAATTATATGTTTAAAATTGGATATGAAGATAAATCACATAGTACTGGTTTTGCAGAAGATACTGTCGATGTTCCACTAATATTCCTAAAAGAGCTAATTCTGGCTAATCATTATAATAATGTAATTGAAATTTGGGAACTTGTTCATCATCGATATAGTAAAAAGAATTATATAGTTCTTTTTAATGATCAATCTTATCTTTGCACTTGTCTTTGTTTGGTCTGACATGGTATTGTTTGCTATTATTTTTTTTACTTATTAGGATATTTAACATATGCAAAGTTTCATATAACTCTTATTTCAAAATATTGGTTCAAAGATAAAAAACAATATGAACCTGTTTCAATTCTTCAGCAGCAACCCTTTACTGATAGCTTTTAAGAACCTTCAACAACCACACTAAATAATAAAATATTTTTAGAGATATTTTATAAGATTTCTGATATTTTTTGTAAACACATTCATAAGTCTTTAAATCAATGAAAAGAATATGTAAATGCTAATAAACTTTCTAAAAAGATGATTCAAATAGGGCTAGATGCAGGATATTTAGCAATACAAAAGTTTAATAATTTTATAAAAAATTTTATAATAAAATATACTCCAAAACATTTAGCTAGTCAAGAATTAACACACAAAAATGTTAAGAAAAAGATTTTAGCTGAATCACATAATATATAACATGATTCTGACAATTCAGATAATCTTGAAAATTCTGATTTAGATTATGTTAATGAATCATCTTCTCAAAACTATAGTAATGTCGAGAATATAGATCCATCTCTAATTCAGAATCCTATCATTCATCCAAAAAAAGGTACATCACGCAAAACATGTTTTAAAAAATTTCAAAAATTAAAACTGAAGACTTTAGAGCGAAAGCTAACAGAATATCAACAATATTATAAGTTTGGACATAATAAAGCTAGTTGTGAAAAATCGTATAAAAAGTATCAAATTCCTTATCCTTTTTAAAGTATTCTTAAGAATTACTCATATATATTTTACTAATGATTAAAATTTTACTAATGATTGAAATGATATATATATATACGTTCTATAATTATTGCATTTAATACTCAAGCTAATTAAGTTAAGTGAAGCTTAAATTTATTAGAATAATTTAATTGACTAGCCCATTTTGATTATTGTGATATATTGTTTTTAGAAGTATTCAGTAAAGTAGTATGAACTATATAGTAGTACAAATTTGAATATGATATATGAAAATATTTTAAATTTAATAGTAAGTACAGTTAATATAAGTAATCTTTTTGGATATTTAAGTTTGTTTTTTTTAGAAAAAATCACTTTGGTGAATATGTAACCCTTTTTGAATAGTTAGAGTTAAGGTAAGTGCGAGTGTTGTCCTTTCTCATAATAAGGGTTTTAGACAAAATTGCTTTTATCAAATAATTGTCTTTAAGCTATACATAGTATTATGATTTATACACATCATATCCTAATTTGTATTTTTGTACTATACTACTTTACTCTATCTTTAGTAACAAAACTAGTCTATACTGTACTATATCTGTGTATTAAACCAAGATCTAAATATAGTGAACATATACCTTGTGAACTAATAAATTAGTACTAATGATTTTTATATAGTTTGATATTTATATTTAGTACCCAACTATATAAAAATCATTAGTACTAGTTTATTAGTTCACAAGATTCTACAAATCTTACAGTTCAAACTAAAATAAAATATTATACTAGATCATTTCATCTAGTGTTAGTTATTTTTAATATTATTGAAAGTTGGAAATTTAATTCTATATTTACAAGTAGTTAATTTTGCTTTTATTATCTTTTGAATAGTAATAACAGTATAACTAGATAATTATTTTGTCTTATTCTAGAGTATTATATAGTATAGACATAGTTCTAATAGTGTACCAATGGTGTACTATTTAATCCTTATAACCACTATAAAGATTTAATAATGTATATAATATATACGCTTAGCAACTCTACCTGATACTTATACGAAATAGATAATATATTAAAGATTAACATTAGTTCTTTAGATATTTATATTAGAGTTAGTGTATATTAGGGTTAGATACTAAGTTACAATCAACTGTTAGCTAATTTTTTTTTTTTTTTTAATATCAAAGTGATCTCATGGTTAGTTATCTTTATTAGTTTTTGTGCTAAGCTAATCAAAGTCAGCCACTACTCATTTGGTACATAATTTTAGAGAGTACAACTAGCCACACGTATAACTTTTGATTGTCTATTTAAGTAGTCTGCCTGAAGGTTCTATACTAGATGCTATATCTATAATCCAACTAAGGATTACTTATTTAAACCCTCTGCACTATCATATCCTTATGAGGAACCAATATCTGCTATAGAAAGCACCTGATCTAAAGCTAATTTACTTCAATATAAATTTGCTAAAGCTTTCTATATCTACAATCTGGCTAACCTAGACTTCGATAACTTATGCCCAAGTCCGAGGACAAGTACTTGCGAGCCGAGACCACTACCATTACCTACTTCTGTCCTTGTAAAGTTCACCCAAACCTCAGCACACACTTTACAGACTATCACTGATTTTAATCCTAACAATCTCAAACTATTAATCCAGATGGCTCGGAAGAGCTGTGACCTGCTTTTGGTCCTCACGGTTGGGTCTTTTTCTTCTGATTACTTTCCCAGCACCTGATTGGTAAAGTGTCTTGTCAAATACTTCAGTCCCATTCAGTTTTACTAGTTCTCTTGGTAACAATTCTTTACATAATACCATCGAAGATTTGTACTACCTCTCTACTCAGATCTTGTCAAGAGTATTCTATTATCCTTCTTGGTTCCCTAGATTTATAATGATCTAAAAGCTTATTCGTATAACTTGTGCATCACACAAATACCTCATGATCTTCCAATTCTATTGATGCTACCAGAGTTACAGAGATCTTGTTCCAACCATTAATCAGACAGCAATAACGTTATACAGATAGAATTTTTCGAAATTCGTCACTAGTAGATTTCAACCCTCTACCTAGCCAACAAGTCACTTGGGGGTGTGACAACTTAACCACTTTACTAAGTCACCACACCCTCTGTTAGCTAATTTTTACTGAGTTTTATAAATTATAGTTGTATAAGATTATATTATTATTATAGTATTAGTTATTATATATATAGGCTATATATAGCTACAGCTATATATAAATTCTTTCTAATTATTATTGTAGTTAACTTTTTTTAAATGTATATTTAGAATATTTATAATGGCAATTTTTTTTGTATACCAGTTTTGTGTAATATTTCATAATATTTTGTATACAAATTTACACTCAGCCTAAAATTTAGAGTTAGTGCAAGCCAGAAATTTTTCAATACTGGCTAGATTTTTTACTAAAAAACCCTGGCTAGCATTAACATAATTCCAGCTCACACTAACTCTAAATTTTAGGCAGGTATAAATTGGTATATGAAATGTTACACAAAACTAGTGTACAAAAAAAATTGCTGTATTTATAATACTATATTGTTTTGATTTAATTACTTATTTATTTATTTAATTTGTTAATTACTTTTAATTTATTTTTTTTTTTAATTTATTATCTCTTAAACTGTATTCCAGGCAAATTTGCCTGAAAAATTTAATTGCATTTAGTATTTTTTAAATAAAATAATAATTTATTAATAATATGAGGTATATGTTTATTATAGAATATATATATATATTTTTTTTTAAAATGAGGTTTTGCCTTTATCTTTATTTAATAATTTGTATTGAAAATCTACTAGAGTTTTTTCTGGTTAATAAGACTAATGATTACAAATATTTTTACAAGAATGAGACTCAGACTATAGATATTCAACTATCTAATTTATTTGCAATCTAAATCTACTAGAGTGGTTAAAAACTTATCTAGATTCTATAATTAATAATATTGTTAGTAGATGTACTATAATTTATCCAAAAAGTTAACCATGTATATGCTTTTTAAATGCTTTTTTGAGGGGTGAACAGTTATTGTCTATGTGTTGTTGGTCAGGTAAACTACAATTATAGCTGTAAGTATATAGTATTTTTAACCATAAGTTATTAGATATAGATATTGTGTTCTGTCTAGTTATATGAGTAGATATGTTGTGTTCTTGCTTTTAGCTTGATAGCTTTGCATAATATGATTTTCAGAATAAATTGTATATATTCTGAGATAGATGTAAAAGTAGTTTAATAGTGGTATTTGTTGCTGTTTTGTTAGAGTCTGTGTATTCTCTAATAGTTTGTATAAGTGTAGTAAATATGAAACCTTGTAAAGTTGTAAATGTATTTGTGTTAGTTCTGGTATAGTAGTTAAGTAATAAACTTGAATGATTAATAAGTTTTTTCTGTAGCTCTTGGTGTTGTATGTTAGTTATATCAAGTCTAGAGGCTTGCAGAAATTGTTGTATTGTGTTAGTAATAATTGTATTTAAATCTGATGCACTTAGGTATGTAAGCTAATACATTTGACCTTCATAAGAGTTATATGAAATGCAGTTGATGTCTGGAAAGTATTGGAGATATAGATAATGCTATTATGTGGCTATTACAGATATTTTTAATAGATCTATGAGTTGGTTGCTCAAATATATAAGTTGTATGTTATAAATAATAAAATAGATTATAAATATTGTTATGCAGGAATTCAAAATTGATTATATAGTTTTGATTTTTGGCTAAACTATCAGCTAGATCATTGAATGTATTATTGCTATATGCTGTAATTTTTTGAAGTTTAATTTTTAATCTGTAGGATTTGATAAAGTTTAGTAGTATATGCCAAATTAGCTAATAATTATATAAGTATTGTTTGTTTGGTCCAGGTGGTTGTTGAGCAAGTTTGTTGAACTTAGATATTATAGATTGTGAGTTAGT